TCCAGGCATTGTGTGGGAATGACAACTGACTTTAGCAAATGAATTATTCTGCCATTATTATTTTGTTATGAATACCATAGAAAAACAGCATTCAAGTGGAAAGAGCATATAAAAATTAAATACATTTAGACGGGTGTTTGTGTATGTCTTGAAAATTGTTAGAAAGGCTTTCAGCTGAAGGCACGATGACTGAGTGCCCATAAAGTGTAACAGATATAAAGCTGAACATGTTTTATTCATGTTTGTAGAAGAATGTACACATAAACAACCTGTGGGAAATAAGCGTTACCGGTATGTCTGAAAGGCAGTGGGACAGGTCTGTGTTGTACAGCCCATGGGAATCAAAAGAAAAGAAACCCAGCTTTAGTGGCACCTCTGCCATGTTCTGAATCCACTTATCTGTCACGACCTTGGGTACAGATATTACAAGCTTTAAAGTAAATCTTCATCCTGTGGAACTTTGTGGGAGTTGGGAAATATATTCCAATGTATTTCAAGGGGCTGGACCTCAGCCTTGCAGCTGAAAGCACAGAAACGGTGCAAATGAATAGCATAATTAGCAGATACTTCAATATTCTGAACTGTTTCCAAACATTTGATAGTTTGCTGTATTTAATGTTGGTATCTTTGTATTGAATTGCCAACTTTAATTGGATATTAAGGATTTACCCTTACTCTGACACCCAGCATACGGAAGGAAAAAAAATTCTTCTTCATCAGGACCAGCTACTGGGAAAACAGGAGGTTGGAGTGCCCTCCCCTCTCCTAGTGACAGGTGCTGTGGTGCATGTGCTCGGTCATGCGAGGCCGCACAGCCAGGCAACTGCTGCCTGTGTTTGGCCGTGATGCTTTTCACACTTTTTTTTTTTTTTTACATGAGTACCTGAACATCTAGCCCCATGATTAAATATTGACTGAGGGCTAAAGAAAATTAATTAATATATGGGAGTGGAGTAGGTTCAGCTGAAAAGACTGAGGAAGAAGGGTTCCATGAAAATTAGCCCTAGAAATAATAATTTCTTGTTATGGTTGTATCAGCAGCTTGAACTGACAGGCTGACTCTGCAACTGAATCAGTGCCTGCCACAGCTCAGGGCCGAGGAGGGTGAATGTGACATGGGACACAACACAGTCTCAAATGTAGCTGTTCAGGACAGGGAGTCCCCAGAACACCTGTTGCAACTGTGAGCTCGCCTCAGCTTTTTGAAGTAGGAGTGCAGGTGACAATCTCCCAGAAGATTCATGTGCTTGACCTTGCTGGAGGTAGTCTCATTCTCTCTCTGGTCAAAAGTTAAGCACCTTAGGGAATTTTCACTATGCTGCTGGACTGATTGTCTTGTTTAGCTGCTGCAGGTGACTTCTTAGGCACTTTCCCCATGTCTTCTTAAGAAACTGTGAAGTGCTTGGTTTGTTAAATTTGGCTTATGGGACTTCTAAGTATCAGATGTTAAAGTAACTATAAGCAATTTTGTGAAGTTTGAAGGTTCTTGATGAAATCAGCTTCTGAGAAACTGACTTCCAAGTGATGAGGCTTTAAGAAATACATATGCTCTCTTACTCTATATGTACATATACATGGCAGGACTTAAGTAGTTGACAGCAATAGCATAAACACAAAATTAATAAATTTTTCAACTTACTCATTGCCTCCTTTCTCTACAAGTGTATGAATTGCTTTCATATTTATTATTGACTCACATCATATATAGGACTATTTAGCTACTACACTTCTTTGCTAATGATGGAGCAGTAGATCCACTAATCTGTGTACCAGGCAAATCCAAAATGTTGTGCTACTATTCTCCATCCCACCCTCTCCTTTCTGTGAGCCTGCATTGCTTCTGAATTCTAGACTACAAAATGCTACTCGTCTTTCAGTCGTATTGGATATCTAGTGGATATCTCTTTTCTTGAGCTAGGTTTTTTCCTTGTGTTTCAGTTTGTTCTCCAAAAGTGAGGTTATGCATTTTCCAGGGACGGGAAGCAGGGGAAAGGGAAAGAGCAGGGTTCTGCTCCTCTCTTTCCAGGTAAGAACTGCAGTCCTGCTGACATCCAGAGAGAAGGGCTTACTCTGCTCTCTGAACAGGTCCGTGTCTACTGTCTTTACAGTCAGAGTGTATTTTCCCAGAGACAGGAGAACAAAACTGTTGGGACAGTGTAACACAACAGGTCTGGAGTCTCTGAGACAGGTTTTGGAGGTAATGACTGGAGGTGGGGCAGGTGTTGGGGCAGGGGGAGGAAGAGCCTGTTTTTCAATGTAATTTCAAGCTCCTTGTGCTGTGGCAGAGAATGTCTCGATTGCCTTTTGAATCAGTTTTGGTTTTCAGGACTAGAATTCAGTAAAACTGAAATCACCTGAGATGGTCTACACTTATAAGTGTATGAAGTGATCACTTAAGTAATCATGTGGGCAAGTGATCATGTAGGAGTTACAGTTGGAACACTGTTATCATTGTCACTACAAAATCTATATATAAACAGATCCAGGTCTTGGGATAAAAGCTGTGTAGCAAAAGAAACCTGTAGAGATTTAGATCAAGGCATGCTTTCTGCTGTAGGAGAGAGAACACCTGCCTGCCTTTGCATATGATGGCCAGCACCCAGGATGCTGAAGAGCAGAGGCTTTACTTCCAGGTATAACCCTTTCCAAGGGTTACAACATTTTACGTTACATGAATAAGTGCTTGTATAAAGGGCAATGAGATTAATTCAGATTGTCAAAATACATTCTTCACTACAACGTGAGGTATTAACAACACTGCTGTCCTGAACGTGGAATCTTCTCCCCTTTCCATCTAAGGCAGAGATTTAAAAAAAACCAAACAAACACCACAGTATGACACAAACCTTACTATCAAAATCACTGCCTTAGCTTTTTGCTTAGGTGACACAATTAAGATCGATCTTATGCATCTGATGACTTCACACCAGGTAGTTACTTCTAATCAAGTTCTGTTATTTGCACAGTCTAAGAAATATATTCACTAAATATTTAACTGGCTTGTGGAACTACTCTCAAAGCTGAGTTTTGCCAAGTGTTAAACACTTCTAACTGCTCATGAGAGTGTGATTCTGCACTCGAAGTCTTTAAGATTTTTTTTAAAAATTGTAATAATCCTGCACTGAAATGCTTCTCAGGGCACATGTCCCTTCTCCCCACCCCACCCACCTTTTTTTTTTTTAATAACCTAGAAGAAAGGTTTAAAACCCACCTTACTGGCTTTTGGATCTGGGGGTCCTGGTGGGCTGACCATGATAGGCCAGTGTGCCCTTGCACAGGTAAAGTTAATGGTGTCCTGGGCTGCAGCAGGTGAAGGGGGTGATCCTGCTTCTCCACCAGTGAGGCCACACCCTGGTATGAAACAGATAGAGACTTACTGGAGGGAGCCCAGCAAAGGGCCCTGGGGAACAGGCAGGGAATAGAGCACCTTTCCTGTGAGGAAAGGCAGAAAGTGCTGGGATGGTTCAGGGGGCTCTCATCAATGTCTATAAATGCCTGCAGGGAGGGTGGAAAGAGGATGGAGCCAGGCTCTTGTCAGTGGTGCCCAGTGACAGAAGCAGCAGCAGTGGGCACAAACTGAAACACAGAAGGTTCTCCCTGAACATCAGGAACCACTTTGTTACTGTAAGTGTGACCCAGTGCTGGTAGGAGTAGTCCAGGGGTTATGGAGTCTCAATCCTTGGAGATATTCAGAAGCCATCTGGACAGAGTCCTGGACATCTGGCAGTAGAGACCCCTGCTTGAGGTCTCTTCTACCCTCAACCATTCTGTGATTATAGAATGAAGCCTCTGGAGAACAGGGCTACAAGCTAGAGTCCTGCTTCTTGTCTTCGCTACTGACACTTTAGAACAGTGGGAGAGCTTTGTTACTCTTAATGGCCTACATAGGAAAATGTCCCAAACCTCTCTCTCTTCTTGGGCCTATCCAAGGCGCTTTACTATGGAAGAAGAACAAGAAAGTGATGACAGGAAGATGAATCCTGACCCCTGTCACCTGACATTAAGAACTGAAAGTTAGTTATTACATATATTGATTTCTCACATCTTTTTAACTTCTTACAAGCCATTTTAGGTCATTTCCCTCCTTCCTCAATTTAGAGGCTAGGGAAAGTCCCTCTCAGCTCTTTTAATACCTTTTCCCTCATTCTCACATTATTTGCATCTTCAGCATCGAGCAGGTTCCTAGGTAATGGTGTGTCCCTTAAGAGCTTGCAGTGTCTGCAGAAGGGAGGGTTGCTTGCAGTCCCTGATCAGAGACCTTCTGGATGGAATGAGGAGCTCAGCACAGTATTAAACCAAATGCTGACTTCAGAACCCTTCTTTAAACTCTCAAAGAAAGCAGGCACCATAGATGTATTCACAGGCAGTTTCATGAAGGGTAGCAGAACTGTAACCACCTTAAAGCAGTGATGAATGGATGCCAGCCATCACCAGCCCCTGTCAAGGTTACCTGGGTCACACAGACTGGAAAACAGGTCTGCAACATCACATTAAGTAAATAGGGTGCAAATCATTGTTAAAGAAGAGCTACTGCTTCCTTAACAAATCCAGTGGCTAGAGCAGTGCTTAGGCTGGGAAACAGGCTTGCAGCAGTGTTCTGAAGGAACAGGAATAAGGCGGCATGTAACTGGCCCCACACCTGATTATTACCATCGCCAGTAGCAGACACCTTAGTTGAAAGAAAAAACCCACAAAACCTGTATTGAAAAATCCACCTATCAGCAAATTCAAAGGATAAGGTTGCTGTATCACTGAAATTTAAGTTAAAACAAATAAAGCTATCTCCTGAAGAAATACTCTCCCCCTGCTGTGCAGCCTATTACCAGTCCTGATATCCTATTAAAAAAGAGTGCTAATACAACCAATTACTGAAAAGTAATGTCAGAGACTGCTTGTATGCTTCTCATACCATTACCAATTACTACAGAGAACAGGTTATAGAAAGATCTCTTAAAATTCAAATCAGTTCATCCCTATGCACAAGAGACTTCTAGGAAGAATAGATAAAACCATGATTTATTACACTATACAAAAGTAGATTCAGAACAAGTGCAGAATATAGTACATGATTTATTTTTTCTGTACATTACATATTATTTGTTAAATTTCACTAACAAACCCAAAATTTCCCTAATTTTTCCTTTATCTGCCTAAGCCAAGCAATTAATCGTGTTCTACAGGATAGAAGAAAATAGCTTCCTGGAGAATTCATCATCTGATTAACTTGGCAGAAGGTGCTTCAGCTCACACTGATTTTCAGCATTTCCCAGAGCTTATAAAGACTTGTCAGGTTAGAACCTCAGTTGTTAGTAAAATGCTCTGCCACTGTACCAGTCCAGAAACAAGTAACTCCACTGTCATTAAATTTCAATAGTGTCTTCCTCTTTGATGAATTAATGCAGTTGCATTTGCAGACAAACCAAACAGGATAAATAAAAAAAAAAAAAAAAAAAAAAAAAAAAAAAAATCATCACTTTCCAGTAGCCCCAGATCTGTCTCTTTGAGTTATACAGGATGTACTGAGATAGATTATTGTGTTTAATAAATTCTTTAAGAAAAATAAATATTTTTGCATAATTTATGTACAAAGATTGGTTGTTTTCCTTCATTCATCAGTTCAACAACAGATACAACCACAGCTATTACTTTATTCACTAGCTCACAATGATTAATGCCACCTTGGTAACTGTTCTATTAAGAGTTGAAGAGAATATCGGCCTATTCTTCCTAATAGTGCAAATTACATGGAGGCGTTTTCAAAACAGTGGCTTAAAGAAAGAAGGATTAACAAAAAACCCCTTCTTTGGTCCCTGTAAGACTAGTCTTAACACTTCCACAAAGTTTTCAAAATGCCTCCACACAATTTTAACCAACTATTAAGGCATCAAAAGAATGGATTAGAAGTTGAGATGAAAATGGTCTTTCTTGGACTTGAAAAGAAGTTCATTGCAGATTTAATTTCAAAGAAGTTTTCTTAATGTGTTTCCTCCTCAGCTCTTTTACGCACAAGAACAATACGCCAAATAAACCTGTCTGATAATCTCCCCCATATAATTTTTTTTAAAATACAAACACAACATTACACTTAAATATATTGCACAAAAAGCATAACATATCCTGCCTGACTCTTCACAAAAATGGCCACAAACACAGGAGAACAGCTACTGAACATCTCAAAATTTGAAAAGATCAATGAAATGCTGAGGAGATACTGGCATGAGACAGGTGTTTGGATCACTGGCTGTGCAGGGGTGTCCTGTATCCTGCAAAAGGAAGGAAAAAAAAGTAAGTTTTCTTTCCATATCCACAATGTCTCTTTACTCCCAATTAAAAAAAAGGCAAATAATTCACATGTAGGCACATGCAAGTACTTCCACTATAAACAAACTGATAGGAACTTGCTCTTTTTAAGAATTCACTATATTTTTCTTTACCTTTTTAGACTAAGTTTTTAAGAAAATAAGCCTTTCTGGTTTGACTGTGGTAGCGCAAGTAGTTCAGATTTCAGAAAAACCACCACCAAAATCAGAACTTGAGTCAGCACTCTTGAAAAAAGTTTCATATACCTTAGCCATTATTTTTTGGTAAGTGTAATTAAAAAAGACACCAACAAACTTCTTTGTTGGACCTAAATTATCTGTTTAATGAAATCTGAAATCAGCTACTAGTTCAGGGGGGAAAAATGAGCTCCTTGCTTTCAAAGTGAAGGGCAGACACTTCCCAAGGAAAACCTGAACAGCAGGCTTGAATTCCTGGTTTTTCTACCTTGCTTGTTTCCCCCCAAAATCTTTTTCTGCTTGTTCACTCCTACCTTTTCCCCACCTGAAGGGATTGCCTTAAAACAGAAGTTAGCACCCTGGCAAGTTAGGCATATAGAAGACAGACAGGGTAGAAAGGTTTTATCATTACAAATTCACTAACCCTGCAGTGCTTTATTACAGAAACTTGAACTGAGCACAATTGTCTGATTATATATTCAAATTCCTCCTCAAATGAAAAGTTCACAGTTCCACCTTATTAGAACCCTCTAAATGAAGAAAGTTCTACAGGTGTAATGAGAAGAAAGTCCCAGACAGTTCAATGGAGAGGTTGAACAACACTGTAAGGCTCAGAAGCTGTGCTCCCCAGGTTTTAAGGGGTTTCTCTCTTTTCCACCAGTGCTGATGAACGCACCATGTGGGGCAAGAAAACTAGAGCAAATACATGGTAAGTAGATCACAGACCGCTGCAGTTTTATTCCCTTTTTTTTCCATAGGAAATAAAGTTACATGCAATTCAGTTAATAGAAGCAAAGAACCTGTAAGTGAACTTTTTTTCTCGCTTGGAAATTTACATAAGTGCTGTCAAAGATGCTACATTCCCATCCAAAGTCTTTGTAACACCGAAGTGCACTAGGTGAAACATTCTAAATACTACTCAGCTTTTTGAATTAAAACTGTTACTCTACTGGTTTATTATCTGTATTTTTCATGTAGTCCATAGATGACTTCATGAAAACATCATGTGGTATCTTCATCTTCCCACTTTTTTTCATAAATGTTTTAACATCACCTGAGAACCAGTTGTTACATTCATGACACAGAAGGAAAAACAAACAAAAAGGAGAAAAACCCAAATAGATTAGACCCCAGGTAGAACTGCCTGTCTGGGGAAGTTGCAGATGAGAAAGAACATAAAATTAAGACCAGAAGTGTTTAAACTTAACACGGTCTTGAGATGATGTCTGCAAGGAAGAAATACAGCACAGCAGAAAATGCTCTCAAAGGTAGTTGCTAATGAACTATCATCTTCTCCACCCACTGCTGTGTCAATGCCATGTAATTACTTTCCTAGTTTCCAGGAAAAGACACCATCAGAATTGGGATTGTGGGAAAGCAGCTAGGGTTTATCCCCTTTTAGTGCTTATTTATACTCCTAAATATTTTAGACAGAATTTGTAACGTGCTATCTGCTTTGCTCTGCACATCATTAAAAATGCTTTTGAAAGCTCTCCTCAGTCAGGAATTACAGGTCCAATAAAAATCTCAGTAAGATCAGTTCTTGGTATTTTTAGTTAATAAAACCAAAAAGAAACAACAATTTTACAGTGGAAAAAGAGTGATGAGAGCTGAAAAGAGTCATAACTTTCCTGTAATTATGAGTCTTCCTCCTTCCAAGAAAAGTGTGTTTCCCTTGAAATTACATTTAATAAAGAGTGTTCACATCATATTGATTTTCAATGTATCTACTTACAGCTAAACCAGAATTATTTTAAATTAAAAATAATTCACCAGGAGGAGTGTTTACTGGCAAATGTTTTCCTCCTCAAATTTTATCATAACTGGACATTAAAAAGCTCCCATAACAACTTTGGAGCTACAGTCCTTCTCTGTGTAATTATTTCTACCATTTCTTCATTCAGAAAGCAACACTATAATTGCCTGCTCCCAAGTCATATGCAGCCTGTTTTGGGAATTTCTTTTCAGAGAGACTCTTTCATAGAAGTATGTGTGACTACAGCATTTCAAGTGGAGTAAAATCAATTTTAGTACCTTTGCATTGAAATTATCCGAGGTTCATGTTACTCTCAGAGTTAAATACTGAATTGAATACATCAGGGAGTGCAGAAACAGTTTATAACACCAAGTGCAGAGAAACCTATTTCTTAGCAAAATCTGGCTGACCTCACTGACACCACACATCTATGTTCATTTGAAGCTGAATTATGGTCCCTAGTTTAAATGGCATTAACAGGGAATATGGCAATAATAAAACAACAAATCTGATGAAAAACTGAGATGGAAAGTCATTGCTACCTTATTTAGTATGGAAACAAGAAACAAAGTATTCCTGCTGCTAAACTGATGCAGGGAAACAAAAAATTTTTTAAAAAAAGAGCGCATCAAACAATTAGAAATGAACATGTTTTTCACTTTGACATTACAGAACAGTCAGCAATGAAAACATGAGACACACAGGAAATACCTTGAGTAACAAAGCAAGGTGGTAGTCCTTTGAGACCATGAAGAAGGAAGCAGGAGGGAGAGCCGTAAAGTAAAAGAAGCAGAGTTAAGGTTTATTGAAGCTGAGGTTCATATGCCATTTAGAAAAAAAGTCTTTTATTCTTGTGGCAAATCACACGCAGCTGGAGAACCAAAACCAGCACAAGCCCCAAGATGACTAAAACCCAGTGTGAAGCATATCACTTGTGCAAAAACCAGCTGCACTATTTTACATAAAGCCCTGGATATTGAAAGAAGAAAAAGTATTTCAATTTCTGTGACCATACCTGGGATAACAGAAATGCGCTACTGCGTGAGCTAAGTGCCCACAATTGCAATGTCGCCTAGTGGAACAGGAGAAACGGTGTACACAAAAAGCGTTCAGAGGCATCAGTAATTAGTCTGCCACTACTTTTACACGACTGAAATTACGTATTTTTCTCAATTTCATCATGGAAAAATCTTTTACCAAGAAGTCACTTCTGAAAGATAGTAATTCAATATGGAGAGTTTCTTATGATCATTTATGGTTGGACTACATGATCTTCAAGGTCTTTTCCAACCTAGATGATTCTGTGATTCCCTCCTTTAACACAGAAGAATACAAGATGTTCTATTATATCAGTGTACTTTCTATAATGAAATTAGGAGTCTCCTTATTGTATTTAACATTATTATGGTCACAGGTTTTAAACAAACACAGGAATACAAATGCTGCTTCCTGAAAAGCTCTTGAAGACTTCTTAACAGTAACACTAAAATTATTACAGCATACTGAGAAGTGAAGAGTTATATCCCTACTTCTGCTGTTTGCTAATTCAATCAAGTGACCATCAGCCCCTTCTCCTGCAAGGCCTTTTTTAAAAGGGACACAAAATGCAGGACTGAAAGAACTTCCCTCTCATGGGATGAGGCAGCCCTCTTATGTTGCCAACAATTACATTATATTACCAATTTCATAAACCGATGAAATTTCTCCTCATCACTACCTAGGCCTGTGCTTTGTGGCTATTTCAGAACCTCACTGCTTTGGTTCTTAAACTCTTAACTCTCAGCATAAGTTTACCAACAATTAGTTTCCACAGCTTATTTGCAAAAAGGATGCTCCTTAGCTTAATGATTTCCCTAAGCAGTCTCAACTTTATTCTTCCCTTCCCAGTCTCTGTGAAGAATTTATGGAGAGCATCACATTCCTTACTAGCTTTACGACAGCTAACTTAAAAGAAATTAACCTCTGATAGTCTTCTTCATGCCCTGATCATTTAAGTACTGCTTCTTCTGCAACTATTCAAGTGTTTTGCTTTGTTCTTGAGAAAAAGAGAAAAAAAATGTGTAATATCAAGGAGTGTTCAGCTCACTGCCTGAAGTTCTGAACGCCCTTGAAAGCAAAAGTTGCCTGATTTTAAATTGTACCATTAAAAGAAAAAAATAAATTTTTACATATTATAAACTATCTGAAGAATCCAGTGCTTCCATTTGTTTCAAGATTCAAACACTTGCTATTTTTCCTCTGTCAAGTAACTGTGATTTCCCTTTTAACATCGGTTTTTGGATTTTGTTTAGGGTTTCGCTATATGGAATTAGAGTAAAATCTTCAGCTGAGAACAAAAATCTGTACATTATAGATACAATTACATGTCAACCACTCTATATATATAATGTAACAATCTGTCTCATTAAGTATGATACTGAAGCTTGAATGAATTCTCAAAGCCTGATAAAAATTCTTTCTGATTAAGAAATATTTTTGCCTAGCACAGAATTTTTCTAGAACTAATAAAGGACGTCCTGTCCTGCTGCCCCCTGCTTTGCTTCCCATCTCTCTTTAGAAAGCTTAGGAAAGATATAGATTCAAGTGCCTGAAGAAGCAGAACTATTTTCTTCTCCATATAACTCAGAGTGACTAGCGTTACTTTACTCAGATTGCCCTGAGAGACCAATGATTAACCTCTTAGTGTGCCTGCCAATAAGGGTGCCAGTTGTACAGAAATCAATTTGTTTCACAATCTGTTTCAGCCTGATCAAACAGTTATTTTAAGATGGGGACAAGGCTTAGAGATTCCAAGACCTAGAGAAGGAAAACTGCAATGCAGGCTCGCAGAATAATCAAGTTGGGAGGCACCTCAGGAGGTCTCTAGTCTAGCCTTCTGCTCAAAGCAAAGTAAACTGAGATCATGCCAGGTTGCTCTGCACTTTATCTACTCAGGTCTTGAAAACACCCAAGGATGGAAACTGTACAACCTCTATGGTCAAACTATTCGCTCACTTGGTTGTTCTCACAGCAGGCTCTTAGGTTCCTCTGAAGCCACATTCTCCAGCCTCTCCTCACAGGGCAAGTCCTCAAGCCTCCCTAATTATTTGGCTCTCACCTGAACTCCATCCAGTTTATCAGTATCTTTTATGTACTGGACACCCTCAGTTGGATGCAGTACCCCACATGCAGTTTAATGAGTGCCAAGTGAAAAGGGATAATCACTTTCCTCAATCTGCTCTGCTGCCTCTGCTCTTGCTACAACAGCTGAGCCCAAACAACGGCTCCAGTATTTTAGTGCTGAAGCACACAATTACTCTAGAATCACACTGTCACTCTTAAGACCTGCCCAAATCTCCAGGATGAGGCAGTCAGCACTGGAATAGTGAACTAGTAGGTACTGCTCATCAATCCAAACAAAGTGCCTTTAGAACTTACTGTGTTGTATTTCACTAAAACCATAAAACCACAAAATGAATTCTATTATACCAGTAATAGATTGGAGTACTCAAGATAACAAGACATCTGCCTGCACAGGTTCACTGCCTCTGTCACACCCAGTTTCCAAAGTTAAACATTTAATTCCAAACACATTTTAGTCATTCCTCATATTAAAGTTCTATACTTTCATCTATACCAAGATCAGAATGAGAGAAATTTACTATAGAAAGCATTAACCCTTTAGATAGCAAAGCCAGAAAATCCAAACAAATCTGATACCACAATAGCCCACCTGCATGCACATTGTGTGATTATCTTTAAAATTTCCACTTTCAAAAGAGAAAAACTTTACCCTACATATTGGGCAACATGATAAAGACTTATTCCACTGTAATGAACAGTTCTTAATCATTCTTGACAAAGGATCTTCAGCAAATGCCCAGGCTTTTCAAAGCAGAAGCCAGTTCTGACTATCTGCTTTACTACTATTAATTTAGCAAAACGTTTGTATCTGGAAGGGCTCCTGTGATATCAAGAATACTCAACTTCAAGGCAAGATCATTCAGCAATATCGTACTTCTATGAAAGCTAGCTTATTATGTTAAACAGACTAGGTGTTTTTTCTATGGAAAATAAAAAAAAAGCCTCACACTGGCATGCAACTCCACTTAAAGTCACAGAAAGACTACACAAGAGCAAGTCATTTCTGTGAATTAGAATATGAGTATTTTCCAAGATTTCTCAAACATTTCCCAGTCCTTGCTGTCCACTTAGCACTATCCATATCCAGTCTTTCAGGTGCAAAGTTAAAGAAGTCTCACTAACTAGAAGGCTAGATTATGGTGCAACACAAAGTAAAAGCAGGACTATGTGTTCACACACAAGTTAAACACGAAAATGTCCTACAGAAATTAAAATAATCCTGTAAAACAGTATATGCTTCATGATAAACATCAAAATCAATGTAAAATGCATTTTGAATGAAGTTCCAAACATTCCTCCAAGCAAGACTAAAAATACAGAGTTTTACACCGAAGTGGTAGGAATACTAATTAATTTGTCATTAGAGATGTATTGATTGCCATGCCATAAAATGGCTAACTTCAGACAAGTTCCTAACAACTCTGCGTAAGATTAAGTAGATACAAGAGTGCAACATGGCACTTTTCCTTGCAATTCTAAGTATTGAGGTTATCATATATCAAGAGATAAGAGTACTAGATAACAACAACTCTGCAATTTAATACTGATATATAGAGAAGTTTTATATAGTATTTAAAGTTAGATATTAGCTGTCTAATCACATTTCACATGAGAAAGCTGACAAGACAATCTTAATATTTTTCCTTTCAGATGATTACCAATAGATGTTTGAACTTATTTCTGATTATCTACTTCAAAGTTCTTACCTTCCAAAACAGAATACTACAGTGTCGACAGAAGTGCAAGGTATCCCCATACTGTTCCTTTATTGGGTAATATTTCTGAAGTGCAAAGTACATCAGCTTCCAGTCAATGTGACCTTTCTCTGATGGAATCAAATGCCTACAAAACTGGACATAAAAATTAATGTCTTCCTTTAAAATTGTTAAAGAACTAGTCAAATCAGGTAAAGGACTGGAGGAAAACAAACAAACAAAAAAGGTAGTTTAACTAAGTTTTGTAACTGGAATTCTTTGAAGTTAGTAAACTGACATCATATGCCTCTGCAAAGCAGTGAGAGAGAGATCTAGCCACAAAAAAATGGAAGGTAAAACACTAAAAATAGGAGGATGGGTATTTGCCAAGGAAAAGTAGACCATACACAGCTGAGGTAACTCTACTGTCTTGAAATGATTCTAGTTATAGTCAAGAACCATAAACAATATTTAGAGCAGTAAGTAATTTTACACTTTTAAAAACCCACTCAGGAATGAGATTAAAAAAAAATGATGGTACATTACAAATAGTGATTTCCTGTTAAGACAGTAACAATGGATTTAAATAATGGTTTTTTTATTATAAAAGTATTACATGATTATTTATCACATTTACTTATGATCTTTCTAGAAGGATAGCAATAATCAGTGACTAACGTACTTGAGGACATAATCTGCATGTAAAGATGAGCTGATGCACAATGGCTGTTTCTCCCTGGTTTAAGAAACAGCCAAGGTTTATTAAGCATGTATTGTAAAGGGCTTCTGTTCCACTCTGTGTGGATTAATACTAATACATTAAGGGCTTTCCTCATTCAGAAGACAACTCCTAGATGGGAAGAAGACCACCGCCTTCCTCATTTCAGCTACAATTAATTTCGTTTCATAACAGTGTCCCTGTGCAGAGTTTTTGTTTTCCAAAAGTGCTCTTCAGATATCAAGTATGTTTTTGTGGTTGTTTCAATGGTTCAACAACTATACTGCTGAGGACAGGAAGAACAACTTAACATGATTTGTACCTTATTAAAGTAGTACACTTTTAAACAGAAAAAGTGGAATTTGAGACTGGAAAATAAATAATTAGATTTATATTAATAACCTAATAAGAAATTGAATGTGAACATTTAGAAATGTATTGGAAACACTGTGTAGAAGTGTCCTTTATAAGGCACAGGGCTAGCTAATTCTAATTTAATGCTTAAATTATCTTTTTCCCAGCATTACCATAGTATAACAGCTTCTCCTCCAACCAGTTTTGTCACTGTTCAATAAAGCTTACCTCATCTAGCTTCAAAATCCACCCAACTGCTACATTAAACTTAAACTTTTTGTGAACATGACTTCACCTTGCATTCTTCTGAGCTGCTTCTGAAGGAGGGTTTTTCAGTTTTTATCTGTCTACATTCTCCATTAAGTTCATTCTAAAGCCTTTCATCTCACCAAAATTCTTATTTGGGTCAAATGCACATGAGTTAATCTATCTTCACTTTTACCTTTCCTGTTATAATAATACTTAATCTGGTCAACACTTCAACCCATCAAATGTAAGAATGTGTGTTTTCACTTCCTGCAGTCTGAGATATACTAGGTTTTTAAGGTTCTTTCTCCATCTCTGATGAGGTAACTTCTATTTTCATAGCTTTATTCTCACCTAGTCTGATTTTGTACCAGCATATATTGCTGTCAGAAACAGAAGACAGTTCTGGAGGCATTCCTAGATTACTTTAATGCTTTTTATGAGGAAGTGACAGAAAAGTACCAGTTCTGTTTTGTTCTTAATTGCAAAATATTGAGCATTTGTTGTTTTATTGGGTTTTTTTGGTTTTGTGTTTTTTTTTTTTTTCCCCCTCAAAAATCCAATTTTGGTTTCACCAAACTGTTCATGTAGCCTGAAAGTTTGAGCAATCTGTCTGCCTGTCTTGGTTAGTAAAACAACTTCTGCTTTATGTACTAAAGTCAGAAACACCTTAGAGGAATCCTCTGACATATTTGTTGGGGATTTTGTAGTTTAAAAAAAATAGTATCTTAGACATTTTTTTAAAATAATGCAAGGAAATGGCCTGATAGTTACCCTAAACTCAGACACGCTAAATACAATTTTTAGTACAAATCAGGCCCCCAAAAGAGAACATTTTCACTATTACTGCACACTGTCATATTTTTATCTCAAAAAGGGGGTATGATCACATTGCATTACTTGTATACCATACTGCAAAGATAAGGGCCACAGTTATGCAAATGATAGAGTTTATTACCTGCTTTTCTGCAAAATGGTACTGGCAGAGTTTTTTCCACAACTGTCTGTCTTCACTGAGCATGTATAAAGTTGGGGTCACTTGACCCAGAGTAATAATGTCCCAGCCATCAGAGAATCTGTATAAGATGTTATTCAGCATATGGACAGGGAGATCGCTAAGCGTAAGACCATTGTTGACTTGCTGAAAATAAGAGTTGAAGACTTTTAACTACAAAAGCTTGACAGTATAAAGTACAAGTAAGATTCTTACTTTAGAGGTTTCTCAGGTCTTAGTGTAGTTTGTACAAAGCCAGAGTAATATCTATGGTTAATTCTGTGACACTGATTTCTTGGCTACCATTATTCTCTAACTGCTGTTGTTGAAAACTTAAATGACTACAGGTACAGAAGGAGCCACAGACTGTAGCTTTATAAATTGCAGCTTTCCTACTGTTAAAAAAACATATCCTAAATTATTTCAATTTCAAATAATTTAAAAACATTTCTGTTCTTACAAAAGAATTCAGTAGTGTACAGTCTTGAAAACTACAATAAATTCAATTTCACCTTTGTGAGAAGTGTCCCAAAACCCTAACTATAATAAAGGAATGAACCAATTATTTATAATTTGTAGGATAACTACAGTTTCTCAATTTTTATTAAGAAATCAAGCATGTGTCAATATGCTTTAAGACAATTAGAATACTGAAAGAATACTTTTAGGACTGAAGAATACTTTTAGGACTGAAAAGCCAAAACACAGAATGAAAACATTATGATAATCAGAGGCAGAAAAGAGAAGGTCTATTTTTGAAGTCTGAAGACAGTTCCCCTCATATCTAAGTAAGCAATTCTGCAGGGGGTGACAGATCAGAGCACTGAGAAAGTTTTTGTTGAGAGTATGCATCTCTGCTGAACTTTAACGGTGTACATACATGACAGAATCTGGAGCCCATTACTGCCTGGTGGCACAGAGCCTGGCACAGCTGGAGGCAGTGTCTCTGCTGGCAAGGGAGGGAGTGTGGGCAGCTGCCGGCCCCAACTAGCAGAGCTGCCCAGTCGCAAGGCACTGGCAGAACAGCAGCTGCACGCAGGCAGGTTCTCGTTTATGTCAGTTTATTTCACAACCATTCATCTCACTTATAGACTAGACTTTCCATAGTGTCATCTGTTATAAACATTTCTGGGACTGTCATTCTGTTCAGGAATATGTGAGCATTAGAAATGCAAGATTTCTCATCAGTTATATCAAACAATGTAAAACTGCTCAAATAGAAGTGGCACACTGGAAAGAAACACAGCAACTGCAGTGCCTCAAAACTGCCTATGCTGTGGTTGCTTGGCATATGAAGACTGCTGAGACTAGAATGGAAAGGAGAAATGGGGAACCCAAAATAAGCTGTTTTATTCAGATACCCAGTACACACAGCAAGGACAACTTCAAAATTTCACAGCTGAAAGCAAACAGATGAAACAGTTGTATGACTTTACTGTGAGCAGTGTCTTGTAGCATTTCTTCCTCCAGGAGTAACCCAGACAGGTTGAAAAAATTGCTTGCTTATCAGAAGTTTCCACTATAAAAGCCTGGAACAGTGCATACCACATGCTTTGAACAAAGTCGCATGATCAGAATCCAGATGCTGAAGTCATTATCCTTCTCTTACAAAAAGCAACTATGCTAATGAATAAAGCTGTAAAATTGCTACTTGAGTATTTTACTTCTGTTTTCTTGATCCACCTCTAAAATTCCTCCTAGATTTGTATTTCTTCAGTAGAAGAGCATTTGCTTTGGAATTAAAAACTGGTATTTTTTCCATCTCTATCTGACAATCTAAAAGACAAACATTTTGCAGATTATTTGGGCGAGAAAGACAACTACATCTAAACATCTCTACTACAAACCAACAGTACAGGCACTGTTGAAGTCCTCTTTAGAAAAGAGCTATTAATACATTAGAAATTAAGTTCATTCCAATTAAAACAGTTTAAGATGTATTTGAAACTTTGTTCACTTACAAATCATAAACCAATGGTCAATATAATTCCCCTCCCCCAATTACTTTTTTAGCATCATTTAATAATATACCTTGTTCATCTGAAGGTTTTTCAGTTGTTGTTGCCACAGAAGAATAGTTTCTAATCGGCAAATCCAAATATTGATGTTCCCTACCAACACAGATTTTCCTACTCCCCTAATCAGTATACGGAGAGTAGAACTCAGATCCTGTAGAAGATCTTTGATTAATCGTGGATTATATTGGTCTTCCATGACTGGAAAACAAAGTTGTATTTGGTTTGTTAACTGAGTTAACCAAGCTAATACAGTTAGCTCAAGCTAATCAACATATTTTTTTTTTAGATCAACTAATTACAACTAACTGTTTGCTACAAATAGCTGCCCTAATTCCCACCAGGAGATTCATTAATGCTGTTCCATAAGTGCAAGATCAATAATTAACAACTTCACAGGCAAATTTGATGTAACATTTCATGCTATGCATTTAATAAACTTCATGTTGGACAACTAGTTATAAATCCAAATTCTTCTCTTCAAAGCTGATAGTATTACATCTCTAGTGTGGTTACCAGAATTTTTTCCCTAATATTATGTAATAGCTTTTTAAAAAACCCAAACAAACAATAAAGAAAAGCAGCTATGTACATCATACAAACTGAAAACCAAACATGTAACTAATTTAAAAGCTTTCACATTTCATAAAAAGTATCATTTAATAGTAACCAATAGTTTCTGAATAGAATCTGATTGTCATTTAACTTCACCAATTTGTTTCAACAGACATGACTCAATCAAGATAAAACAACTTAGTGCAGCTGTGAGATGAGAAGCATGAAACCTTTCACTAATTAATATGCTATTGCTTTGTCTTACAACATAAAAACAGTAATAAAGCTAACCAAAAAACCCCACCAACTGATAGCTTAATAGCAGCAATTAAATCTAAGCAAGCAGATTACAAAACCTTAAGTCTTACCCTTCCGCACAATTTTGTCCAAAATGTTAAAGTAGTTCTTCTGTGCTGCACCACTCAGTGAAGTTAACTGAGATTTTGCAATTAACTGCAAAAGCTAGGACAAAGAATTAAAACTCAGAAGAATGACAGAATTAAAGGATGGTTTCAAATATACACTTTCAGTACATACATTGACCTAGAATAGCCTAAATCACTGCAACCGTATTTCATGAAAACATCACTACAGAGTTCAGAAAACAAAGAAAGACAAACACAGAAAGCTTCAGGTATTCCCACTGGCATCCCATGAACAACTCTGAGATGTGTATTTTCAAAATACTGTACAAACACTAGTGTTTATCTCTGATAGAGCACGTGACATATGGTCCTTATAAGCTGTAACGAAACAATGGAGGGATTCTGTTTTAGAGTCTCACAAATAGAAACGCAGTCTTTGATGTGGCTGGATCCTGAATTCCCTGACAGATTTGGTGGCCAGGAACACCACTCTGAACTGATACCAACTACCAGACTTTCAATTTCTGAGTGAAAGTATCATACTGGTCAAACCAAGGTGTGATGAACTTAGCTCAGTACCTTCTGCTCATAGAGAGAAAATGCCGTATTTTACCTAAACTAGGGGGTGGGGGGGAAAAAAAATAATCTGTATTACTCCCACATTCAGGTCCCTGGTAGAAGAAACCACAGTAATTTAGTCATCAACTGTACACATACTGCATTAGTAACTTTCCCTTAACTCTATTGTAAGGATCTCCTAGCTGTCTACACATTTCTCTCTGGAACCACTGTGAACAGAAGACTGGCAAGAACAGTGGGAGTGATCCAGGGAAAAGTAACCAAAATAGCTTAAGTTCTTGCCATGTATGAATGCCAAGCTATAGCTACTAGAGGCAGCCCTTGCTCCATTCTAACACCTTTGTTTTCACATTTTAGATTCAGTTTTATAGCTGATGAGGACCATTGCCTCTTCAGCAAAAAATGGTCTCTTAGTACAAAAAAGAAGTGAGACTTTGGTGTTATAACTGTATTGCAATGCTTAGAAGTGTGGCACCAAGCTTGACAATTGTGATTCGTGACACCGAGTTCAGAACAAGTGTTCTAAATACATCAGAAAGGAAGAGCAGGAAGTTGAAACCCATATCCACTACAGAGTGCGTGAAACACCAATCTGCCAAGCCACACTTTACAGGACAGCATCAGCTATTGGTACAGAGGGTGAACAAAGACTACGCCTGCCAAAAATTATTTCTAAAACACTGATTTGACACTAAAAATCAACATTAATTTTCCTCTGGAGGAAGAGTGAATACACCTGTTCGCTCCCTGATAATGTTCCTTCTGGCTTCTCTGCATGATCCCCGAGAAAACATTATGTACTATGAAAGGAGGAAATCATTCTCCTGTGTATTTAAATACAATAAATCTATTTATATAGTTTTTGAGACTAGATATCAGAATCTCTTTCTTGGCACTTTCAAAGCCTTTTAGTCTGATTAATAATTCAGAGGTCTCCGGCAGTTTGCCAATTCAAGCAAGTATGTACATTTCTCTTGATTAATTTAAACAAATTCATTTATGTCAGTCAGAATAAAGATCAAATCAAAGAAACAACTTCCTCATGGCTGATTTTAATGAAGATTCCAATTTCAGTGACAGTTAATGTGCAAAGATTAAGAGAATTTTAGCAGCTGCACAAGTCCAAGGATCTGGCACAAGTTCAGTCTTAACAATATATGCATAGCCATGTCTTATGTTGTCTACTAAAGATTGTAACTTTGAATGGATCAACTGTTTATTCAAAAAAAAACATTCTGAAAAAAGACCATCTATATCAAACTCAATGTATCAGACATTTAACAGCTAAGAAATGATCATTATACTACAGCACAAGCAAGTACAGGAAAACTACCTCTTCCCACCACTGTCCACTCTAAAAAGGTCCTGAGCAGACATTTATACTCATTTTTAATAATGATTGGGAGGTTTTTAGTTAGTTGGAGAATAAAAATGGGTCATCTTGGTGGTCTGGGATCAAACAACTATCCAGTAGGCCTTGATATTTAAAAAATATCTTCCTGATTTGCATCTTGCTATCTTGAATGCAAGAAGCAGAACGACACATAAAAGTAATCATCATTTTGTTCATGCATAACTAGGAATAATTCTTAGAGGAGAAGAAATAGGAACTGCTGCACTGCATTAAATGAGATCTACACAGAACATTCCACTATTAGAAACTTCAGGGAAGTAAGTGAAAACTTCTATAAAGCAGATACGTATGGAATGGCCTGCTTCTTCCAGTAGGTCCCAGCTGCAGACTGACTTAAAACCTGATAGAGCAGATTAAACATCCTTTTTAAAAATCTGCTGCAACTTCACATATTACTGACTTCCACACAGATGTTTTGTTAGATACAACACCACAAATGTTTCTCATGTTCTACAGCTACAGAATGAGCGGAACCTGTCATTCTTATTGATCATGTTTAATAGCAGCTCAGTAACTTCTAAGGTCATAGATAAACAGTTTCTGTACCTGTTGAAAAAGCCAGTTTGCCTCCCTCACCTCAGAGGAACTGATGCAAAGGTATCATTACCTTTTTTGGTAATAAATTTTTGTAACTGTAAAACAATTCTAACATTTTAAAAATTTCAAATAAATTCTAAAATGATAAAAGGATTTTGGAAGTCTGCCTGCTATTCTAAATCTATCCTAATTTCTTAGGGTCTACCATTACTCTAGTAACAGTTTGGGTCACAAAGTCAAATTTCTGAATTTTAAAGTATTGGTCTTTTCTCAACAATCATAAGCCTGGGTAAACCAGCTGTTCAAGGTCAGGTTGGACAGGGCTTTGAGCAACCTGGTCTAGTGGAAGGTGTCCCTGCCCATAGCAGAGGGGTTGGAACGAGATGATCTTTAAGGTCCCTTCCAACCCAAACTATTTTATGATTCTAAGATTTTATATCCTTTGCCAAACAGAAGAGAAACTGGTTAATATGCTTATGTTAGACTTTGCACTTTGTTATGATCAACTGTTTTGAGCAACCCAGCTTAGGCACTGCAGCATGTAAAAAAAAAAAACAAACCCAAACCAAACCCCACAGTAAAATTCTAGTTCTGGAGCCATTTTACCTGTTTACCATTCAATTGAGGCACTCAAGGTTGACACCATTTATAACACGTCACCTTTTTGAGGTGCTTTGCTTTCTTCCTACTGATTGAGGTTGAAAAGTCTTGGGAAAGATCTAGATGCTTGTTTCTGCTCCAAAAACTGCACTAAAAAGCAGTGTTCTAAATGACAATGCATACATATACCAAAAAAATCTGCAAGGGGAATAAAACAGGCAAGCACCCTAACCACTAGCCTGGAAGCAAGCTTTCTGTGTTTTGTTTCCTTTGGTCCCAGATCTCTGTTTTTTCTGGCAGTATAATACACTGTCTCAGCTTTATACGGATGGGTAGAATGTGTTTTCTCTCCAAATATTCCATGGCCTAATGGTAAGGGTGTTCTCCTGGTATGTTTATTTAATTTTGATTTGTGTCTTTTCAAGTTCTGAATGCATTCTAACCACTACATCATTTGCAAACAGCCTCATGACTGAACTGAACTCTAGACCTGATGTGTCTCTCATTCTGAGCTTCTCTAAGAGTTGGGATAAGTGCTCTACTACCTCAGGTTAGATGACAAAAAAACCTTGGGGCTAGAGAAAGATCTCCCAGAACAGGTATTTTCAAGCAGGCAGCTGGTTAGGCGTTGAGGAAATTAAGGCATAACACTATGTGGCTCCCTAAAGTACAAGTGACATAGTTTTGGAAAAAGGCAGATAGCACTGTTGTCCAGAATTTACAGGTTCCATGCACTTAAGTCTCAACCTAAGACTAGACCTGACCCAGAGAAGCTAACATAGTGAGAAAGGGACCTTCCAAGGAATCATGAGACCGTAATTGTTTCTACAAACATCATGTCACTGTATTATTTGTAAAAGATGACTTGCAATAAATCTCATTTCTAGAAGACAATAAAAAGGAAGACTGAAAAAGCTGGAGTCTCAAGTTTTAAGGGATGCTTACAAAGGTAAATGCATATAGGTCTTGTTCTAGATTTAAAAAGTGTGCTCTGAATCACAGGACTCTTAAGAAGCTGCAGAAGAAACAGAAACTGCAGAACATTTACACATCAAATATTTTTCTGGAAATTGCTATTTTAAGCACATTTAAGATGTAGTAAAGTACATTTAAGATGTATTACACTTTGCTATTTTTGGTTGTATTGGAATTATTTTGCCTTTATAGAGAGTTCACTACCCAGACTGATGAACAACAACTGAAACTACCATCAGTGTTTCCCTGTAAGTATGTAGCGTACTGGCCACCACCATCCTCCTCAAGTTACAGGCTTTCATAGAGCAATATAACAAGTTTTCATCAAAGAAAAATTACTCAATTTAAAGTTGCTTCATGCAGTATGAATTACATATGAACAGGATATTTATAGTCACAAATCATCAGCTGTTCAGTGCAAAATTATTTCTTTTGTACACACAGGCACATCAGCAAAAGCATTTTTAAAATATGCATATAAAAAAAGAGCTTACTTTGACCACATAATTGAACCTTCTGATGTCCTGAATTGCACTTGAAAAGTCTAAGCGGTTAAAAGCTTCTCCCAAAGTGCAATAGCCATGTCTCTGAGAAGAAAAGGAAACACACTTTAAATGAAAAGAAACAAAGATAAAATTGAGGAAAATATTCAGAAAAGCACTCTGCTACGGAACTGGTGCTTATGTATACCATGCTCCCTGGAAATATAATGTAACTGGACTGAAGATTTATTTAATTTCTTGTAGAACAAATGACACCAGATATGCTATTTGGAACTAACAGATATGTAGGCAATATTACTCAACAGCAAGGCCTTTAAATTCACACTAATCATGCAATCTGTCATCACGGGTTTGTGAGTGTCCTGGGAATCTACTCCACTATTGCATGTCACTCTCTCATGGCTATCACAGTCCCCATTTGCCTCAGCACAAGGTAGAGCTTGTTTGTACAGCAGTCTGAGCTTACAGCCATAAGCATTAACTGACTGAGTTTATGTTCACATTTGAGGGTAAGAACAAGCTACTTGATCCGGGGATTGGAAGAACAAATGGGTCTCAACATCTAGAATTTATGTTCTGGGTGCTAGAAGTTTAGGTACATTTTTTGTTAGGTACTAAGAGCAAGAGCAATTGTATTTTCTTTTGGTACTTCTGCACAGAGGTCTTCAGGTGAAAATAGAGGCTGTTGTGGAACTACTTAAGATGGTACTAGCAGCCAAAATAATATAGAATCACATAAGCTGACTAAATCCAAAGCACCACATAAGAGCCTTGGAGCAAATATAATGAGGCTAGAAAAACCTTACAACTGGTACAAGAGTGTGGTGGTTTGACTTTGGCTAAATGTCAGGTACCCACCAAGTCGCTCTATCACTTCCCACCCCTTCTCCTTGTTTCCTCAACAGGGCAAAGAGGGGAAAGAAAATAAGATAGACCAACCCTTGTGGGTAAAACAAAAGCAGATTTAATATAAGCAAAGCAAAGTTCTGCACGTGGAAGAAAAAACAAAAAACAAAAACAAAACAGATTTATTCTCTCCTTCTCATGGACAGGCGATGTCGGGCCTTCTCAGGAAGCAGGGCTCCGATACGAGTAGTGTTTGCCTCGGAGGACCAAGGGTGACCCCACCCCCTTCCTCCTTTCTCCCAGCTTTATCCTGAGCAGACGCCATATGGTCTGGAATATCCCTTTGGTCAGTTCGGGTCAGCTGTCCTGGCTGTGTCCCCTCCCAAGATCTTGCCCACCCCGTCCCACTGAGGGGGGAAATGTCAGAAAGAGCCTTGGTGCTGTGTAAGCCCTGCTCAGCAGTAGCCACAACACCAGGGTGCTACCAACACCCTGCCAGCTCCCAGCATAAAACACAGCACCGTGAGGGCTGCTATAGGGGAAAACCAATTCCAGCTCAGACAGACCCAGTACAAAGAGGTAGTCCCAGAGCAGCGTGCTAGTATGGCTTATCAACCCAGGGAGGGAGGGGGGGATAAATAATGATTTGAAGTTCATTCCTAAATGGACTTTTTTTGGTGAATTATGTGATGACAGTACAACTTAATGTTCTTTTTTTGCAACCCAAAGAAAGCTTACCTTGGATGTACCCCAGTGGGACAGGAGACAGTTAACTATTCACTACAGAGTGGTGGTAATTACTGCCTACTGCTTAATGACTGCATTCAGGATTGTACTGCTTGCTCACTCATCCAGTTAATATACCCAAGATCCAAGCCTGCTGCATGCTTCACAATATGCACAACTTCGTTGGCTAACAGCAGTGAACTAATCCTTACAGACAACAAAACTTTTGTTGAAATGTAAATATTTGTGGCTGCTCGCTGGCTAAACAGTTATCAAAAGGCCATGCTTAAATACATTAATGTGAGGTACATTTCCTTGAATAGCTGGAAGCACATTTCTATGAAACTTCAGCTCTACCATTCCCATCATGACAAAACTACTCAAGAGCATCTCCTATTTCATTTCAGCTCTATATCCGCACTTGGTTTGGTTTTCTTTATTCAGTCCTCTCCCACAGCATGTTTCACATGTTTCATATCAAGACTTTCCTACTCTGTCACTTTGCCCTAAAATTCAGTATCCAGTTTGGGAAAGTTTCCTAGCTACGAGACATCCATTTCAAAATCAAGTAAGATTATAACCTCTATGGAAAACTAGAGCTTCTGTAAATTATGATTTAGAATAGCTGCAACTGTTGCTCTGAATTTTTTTTTCAAGTATGCTTATTCCTTCCTACTTTTTCATTCTGCTACTTCATTTTTAACTTTCACTCTAAGCATTTTAATTTATACAAGGAATTACTTGAAAAATATTAGTGATAAATTGTAACCATACTGGTTTTGGTTTTATATTAAAAAAACCCACCCAGGAAAGGTGAATGGTCAATCATTAGAACACACGAGCAGTAACAAGTATAAGCTAATTTGTACACTCTCTGAATGCACAAGAAACCCAAGCAAATAATCACACATCACTAGTACACAAGCTTCTGCACAAGTAGTATGAAATAAAATAATCCCAACATACTGGTTACGGAGGACAGCAATGTGTGATTTTAGGCAATTTGTGTTTCAGATAAAATGTAGTTTGAAAACTCAGCTTAACAACCTTATCATCCAAGACACCATAGTGACTGATGACAGTCTGTTATTCCCCTTTCCTTACCCTAAACTTGAAATAGCACAGACGGAAAGAGCATGGTCGAGACTTTTGCAGACCAATGTAAGTAACTACATCTACCACAGATTAAGATAAAATTGGGAAAGGGGGCTATGAATCTGGCTTTCTACTACCCTTCAGATGTAGAGGGCAGCCTCCAGGTCACTGGCCTGGAAGGTGAAGTTTTCCAGGGTCTCTTCTACGTAAGCTCTCTCCACAACACCATGCTCAGGGAGTACAGAGCTCTTTACGATCTCTCTTGGCTCTAAAACGCAACACCAACTCTTGCCTGCCATGTCTAGGGTCATCACACTCGCCTCCTTCTGTCTGTCCTGGCTGGTGTTACTGTGTGGATGAAAGACATCCTTAGAGGTGCTCAAGTTCCACTCATCTCAGATAACGATAGGAATCAACACAGGAATGAAACTCTAACTTCAAGAGAGTTTATCTCTACATACGATGGATGTATTTTAACTCTTGTCTTTCTAACTGGTCATTCCAAGATCTTTCATGTTCCCTTTATAGTTGCATGATACAGTTTGTATCCCAAACTGAGAGCTTTTGGACTTTGTGGAATAAAAAGGTCCTCTTTGTAAAGTTTAAAACTGAAGTTTTACTTACATTCAAATTTACACCAAGATTCCAAAATATCAGTTAGCTGCCTGCAGACACCTTCTTTGGGGACATTACTCTAGTTTTGCAAATACTTTCAACTTTAGTTCAAAGACACAAAGTACAAATGGGCTTGGAGAAGTAGTACAAGTTCCCACATCTCTGCCACAATGACCCATGTAAACATCACTCTGCTAGCTGCCTTTGCTTCACCATGTGCACATGTACTACATTGCCCATGAAGAGAGAGTATAAAATAACCTCTAAGACCACATGGCACAAATACATTTTTTTAAAATATACTATTTGTTGATTAAGGAGCATAAAGATTGTGGGAATTGACACACAGCATGCAGAACTTACTTCCCTGGTGCTTTCTTTATGAACATAAATCCACTTTTCACGATAAAAACCTAAAATAAAATCAAAATATAAGCATTTTTAGGCTTCCACTTTAGGTAATGCCTTCTAGAAAGAAACTGAACAAAACGGACCATCCTCAATAAAATGCTTCAAAAGATAGGAGATATGGTAGAACAGTTTTAATGAAGGAAGTTTAAAAAGGGTGAAAAGAATTACTACAAGTTTGCAGCAGTTATGTACTTCAAAAAAATAAAGGAAACATTAAATAATTTTATAAATCAAACACAAGGGTTGGCACACAATTGGCAGACATAGCACAACTTTTGTCAACTGTGTACCAACAACAATCCATTTCTCCTACAAAAACCCTGATTTTTTTAATCCAGAAGGCTCTTTTAACACAGAACGTACAGAAATAAGCAACCTTTCCATTCCTGACCACTCTACCCCTCAAACTTATTTTATCCTGTGAAGGTGCCTGCTCAACATCCACTTGGTACAACTAGTTGCAGAATACTGCAGAAAAGTCAATTATACAAGACTAACAAAGGCAATTCAGCAGACCCTCAGCTTTCAGCAGTCTAGTATGTTGTCAAATGAAAGTATGCTCTTACAGATAGCCACTTGAATCTTTTGAAATACTTTAAACTGAGACAAACCTGGGGAAGACTGCTGCTTTCTGCAAGACCATCTCCATTACATTTTTGGGAATATACAAATAACGGAGATCATTTCAAGATCAAAGCGTTAGAAATGCCAAAAAGTTGCTCATCAACTTACCTTTTTTCACTTACTCTATCAAATTCTCTGCTTCTTACTTGGTGTCATACACATTTGCAGTTCAAAGTAGAGGTGATCTTTTAAAAGTGAGAACTGACAAATGACTTTCATATTTTAATTTGAAAAAAGATGGACTTTCCTCAAGAAATTAAATACTGCTAAAGTCATTACCAAGAGCTGGAAGTACTATGACAAAATATATTTATGAACTGATTCTGGACTTGTATCGCTGATCAGAAGTTGAATTAAGCAAAATAACAACTGCTTTAGTAAGCATCAGCTTCTATAAGCATCCAGATGTACTTAATCTAAAACTAGTCCACAAGACAAAACAGTGGTTAGTAGCAGAAGAAATTAATTATTCAGGAATTACTATTTTTAATTAATTACCTTTGGATTTTTGGAAAAAAATTTAAATCATCCAATAGATGATCAATACCACAGTTGAATTAAGATCTGTCACTTCCGACACCAGAATTTGTAGCCAACAGAAGTACACATAACTCAAAAAGCTACTCTAAAGGTGAATTATAAACGAATGGCTATTATAAAATTCTGCTGAGCCTATAAGTCTTCTAAAATAAATTCAAAAAAACAGCCTTACATTGCGAATCTGTGTTATTCCTAAAATGATCTTTTTTCCTTTTCTTGGCTGCAAACTCACAATCTTCAGTACTGTATATTTCTTCATCCTCTTCATCACCAGTTATGATGCTGAAATAAACACATCTAATTAGAACAGCAGTGAACAAATATTTAAGATGCGTACAGCTTATAATTCTCTGCATTAAAGTGTGACAGCTGGAAAAAAAAAAAAAAAGGTCACATTTTTAATGATGTTGCTCTACCTGATGGTCTATAGCAACATATACATTGAGAGAAGCTATTTGTGTTCTTTTCTTCCCAGTGGGGATGAATTTTGTGTCAAAGTGATTAAATACACAAAAGTATCTTCCTAAGCATCCTGTAAGTCCCTCTATGTCATTACTGACATTTAGAAAGAGAAGAGGAAACAGTACTAGCTGGACAACTGCCTGTCTGCAAAGCTCTGTTGTACAAAAATTCGTTTGAAATGGACCAAGCCTTGAAAAACTGTGCACACAGGTAACAGTGCAGAATTACCACACCCCCTTGCACAGGCAGAAAGCCAGCACATAAAGATATCTCTCTTTACTACTATCAACTTTGGGGCAAAGAAAGTCTTTTTGTTAAGAAATGCCTGAATCACAACACTGTACGTAACGTAGGTGTCACAGTGATGTTTTAACAGTGATTTATACAGCATCGTGTGGTCTACCACCCTCTCTCTCCAGAGACACAACTATACCTATGTCACTTCTTACACTTAACTAACACTGACAACTATACTGAGTAATTATATATATAGGGTATATATAGATAAAGTGTATATATATATATAAATATACATATAAATTAACCATTTAAAAAGTTTTGTTGGATAAACTAACCTTTCTAAAATTCATATGTATTTTAAAACTGACTGCACTACATAAGGTCTACAGTTTCATAAAGTTTTGGTTTCATTTTTGCAGATAATTATAAGGACCAGTAGTACAGATAAGAATGGGTGTTCATTTTTCTAGCACAGAGAAGGAAGATACTTCATACGAAAGCCACAGTCTTGCAGAGAAAACCAAAGTAATTAAGGAAATGTGGTACTGCAGGACTATTTTATTTCCCCACCATTATTATTCTTTGACAAGAAAGCTGTACACAAAATTCCCCTCATTCATTACTATTTGGTAATCCAAATTTGCCATATGAATCTATCAATGTCAGTTTGAACTTCAAATTGCACTAGAAAATGAAGGACACCAGTTTATTCAAAAATAACCTGTATTTGGGCATTAAGTGCCAAAAATCAAATTATATTAGTCTATTGCTGATAGCTTATACAGTTAAAATTTTCAGGCTTGAACATCTGTTAAAGGAGGATGACTAAACAACACTGTAAAAAAGCTTTGGTTTTTTAATTGCTCTCATCAGTAAATGCTAGCTCAGCTTAAAGATACACAGAATCACAGAATTGTCTAGGTTGGAAAAGACATTGAAGATCATCCAGTCCAACCATTTACCTAACACTGACAGTTCCCAACTACACCAGATCCCTCAGCGCTATGTCAACTCTTACACACCTCCAGGGATGGGGACTCCATCATCTCCCTGGGCAGCCCATTCCAACACCTAACAACCCATTCTGGAAAGAAATGCTTCCTAATATCCAGTCCAAACCTTCCCTGGTGCAACCTGAGGCCATTCCCTCTTGTCCTATCACTTATTACTTGGTTAAAGAGACTCATCCCCAGCTCTCTGCAACCTCCTTTCAGGGAGCTGTAGAGGGTGATGAGGTCTCCCCTCAGCCTCCTCTTCTCCAGACTAAACACCCCCAGTTCCCTCAGCCGCTCCCCGTACGACCTGTGCTCCAGACCCTGCACCAGCTTCCTTGCCCTTCTCTGGACACGCTCGAGTCATTCAATGTCCTTTTTGGAGTGAGGGGCCCAAAACTGAACACAGGAATCGAGGGGCGGCCTCACCAGTGCCGAGTACAGGGGTCAGATCCCTTCCCTGTCCCTGCTGGCCACGCTATTGCTGACACAAGCCAGGATGCCATTGGCCTTCTTGGCCCCCTGGGCACACTGCTGGCTCCTGTTCAGCCGGCTGTCAATCACACCCCCAGGTCCCTCCCTGACTGGCAGCTCTCCAGCCACTCCTCCCCAAGCCTGTAGCGCTGCTGGGGGTTGTTGTGGCCCAAGGGCAGCCCCCGGCATTTGGCCTCATGGAAACTCCTCCAGTTGGCCTCAGCCCATGGCTCCAGCCTGTCCAGGTCTCTCTGCAGAGCCTCCCTGCCCTCGAGCAGATCAACACTCCCACCCAACTGGGTGTCACCTGCAAACTGACTGAGGGTGCACTCGATCCCCTCGTCTAGATCATCAGTAGAGATGTTAAACAGGAGTGGCCCCAAAACCGAGCCCTGGGGGACACCACTCGTGACCGGCCGCCAACTGGATTTAACTCTGTTCACCACAACTCTCTGGGCCCAGCCATCCATCCAGTTTTTTACCCAGCAAAGCGTGTGCCCATCCAAGCCATGAGCAGCCAGTTTCGCCAGGAGAATGCTGTGGGAAATGGTGTCAAAGGCCTTACTAAAGTCAAGGTAAACGACATCCACAGCCTTTCCCTCATCCAATAAGCAGGTTGCCCTGTCATAGAAGATCAGGCTTGTCAGGCAGGACCTGCCTTTCACAAACCCATGCTGACTGGGCCTGATACCCTGGTTGTCCATTATATCACTTTAAATGGCACTCGAGATGATCTGCTCCATGACATTCCCTGGCACCGAGGTCAGACTGACAGGTCTATAGTTTCCTGGATCATCCCTTCTGCCTTTCTTGTAGATGGGTGTCACATTTGCCACACTCCAGTCCAGTGGGCCCTCCCCAGTTAGCCATGACTTCAGGTAAATCATGGACAGCAGCTTGGTGAGCACATCTGCCAACTCCCTCAGCACCCTTGGGTGTATCCCATCTGGTCCCACAACACAAGTTGAGAAGACTCAGAAATAGGAAGTTGTTTTGGTGTTCGGTTTAAATACCGAGAAAAACCTAACATACCTCTGCATTCAGATAGAGCTCAATTCAAGATGAGGGCCTTAGTTCACCTCTTACCATTTTTTAAGCAGAGGATAAAGACTCAACAACTTCCATGTTCTATGCAACATTGCCAAATATCATATCTGGTCAAACAGCAAAGGAGTTTGGAGAAAAGGAACTGGTAATTGACAAAAGTGTAACATCAACACGACAAGTTGTTTTTATTATGTAACATTCCAGTCCATCAGGGTCTTTTTTTCCCAAAGCTATCATAAAGGAAATACCTTTTTAAAATCACTAAAATTATTAATGTTTTATCATACTGACTGCATCACCATGTCACATGAGAAGTTACTGCTGAATATGAAAAGTTGCTGCAGAATCAGAAGTAGAGCCCAAAGCTCCCAGACCTAGCTTTATCATCCTAACAGATACTAGACTAGAGAGGTATGGCCTGATACTCTGCAGTATGATTCAGGCACACCAGAAACATGCCCATTCCCACTGGGCAGTGCAGTGGGGAGAGGAGGGGGGGTGGTATTCCTGAAAGCCTGCTTTAGAAGAGCAGGGTCAAACTGGCCAGGTTCCTCCTTTTGTTCCTGGCAGGGAAGTGTCCTTCAAAAGCAATTTAGACCAGTAACATATTTAAAATCCACCGCTGCCCCCCAATAATATACACTTCCTCAAGCATCAGATAAACAAGCAAGGCAGCTTAGGGGCAGTCAATTAATACAAGGCATTGTGAAGATGAAGAGGGCTGTTTGAAACACCTTTGTCTGACATTCAAATTCACGTGTGACGTTCCTGGAATTCTTCGTGTTATTTTAGATAAAAGATGAATTTGATTGTTAGCCCTGAGGATCTTCTCATATGGGGCTCATTTTCCACACATTCTGTCCCACTTCATGTGGAGAGTCCCTACTTATCTGTAACCATCATCATTCTTCTTGAGAAACTTTAAGTCTCTTAATGAGAAAGAAAACAAAGGTCCCACAGACACTAGAAGAATGGGACAGCAATAGAGGTACTTCCCCAGTTAGCCTTCTTTCCAGAAATCTGGAAAGCTGCTCCACAAAGCCACTCTACCATTTCCAAAAGCAACCCCCACCCCACAATAGCAAGCTAAGATACAAGAAACCAAATCAAGTGCTGCACATGCCATATGGTATAGCAAAAGACTTTATGTTTTTACTATAATACTGCACATGACATCTGAGTGCACCTGGAAGGATTTAAATACACACATAATACTGCCAATTTACAGCTATTCTTACTTTCTTGTCTTGATGATGCACTTCATAAAAAATTATTTGGAAGTTAAAGCTTCTAAAAGCAAAGTAGCTGGTGTCCTAGAACTACAATACCCTATGTAAAGTATGCAAGAATTTAAGCTTTTTCAAAAAAGTAATTTCATAGCAATATTTAAATAACCTCTTGGGTATGACACTTAAAATGCTGTAAAACTTAGCAGGGCTATCTGAACTCCCAACTATTCATTCTCATCCCCTTGCTTCTTTTCTCACCGTGGAAGGAGTGCCCTCAAGTCATGCAGTTCCCTACAGAGACAAACTTGAGTGTTTCAAAAGAGACTTGAAGCCATTTACAGGATGACCATGCATGGAAAAAATCCTATGGTAAGTGCCTGCACCAAATAATGTTACAATATATTTGTCACATGACAAAAACATCTAAGACTAGATTCCAATCCAAGGACTTCTACCCAGTGCACACTTTTGTGAACCACTTATCTCACTTACAGAATTAGACAAGAGACACTGCAGACTCTAATGACTACCCTGCCAGCCCAAGTAGTTCATATGAGCCTAACACAAAAAAAAGTCTATCATCATCATCATGAAAGTCTTATTAGGTTAGTCTGATTCTTTCCTTCACCTCAAAAGGAAAACATAAGACAGCTTTACTCCTAAATTGCAGGCTACTGAGAGGTATTTACATACAATTACTGTAAGGCAGTGCTATTCTCTCTACCCCGCCACACTTCAAGGACACAGTGCCATGGCCCTGGACATCTGTGCTAGAATTTATAGGCACAAATTGCAGGTAGTCGTGGTCAGCATTCAGCCCACAGAGATTGAATGAGCACTGCCTCAACCACATTTCCTTCTACTGTACACCTTGACTACAAGGCACTCTTCACTTATATACTAATATTAATTATCCAAATAAGAGCTACAGAACTGAAGGTCTCAGTTTTCATAAATGGAACTACATTAAAGTGCAACTATTCATTCCAAATCATTTAAATTGTTCCTGAACAAGTGATTGTTCAAGTGTGGTTATCATTATGTCTCTCATTTCTTCCATCAACTGGATTCACTAAGGCACTGGATGACTAATTGAAAAAGGTAAAAAGTTGTATTTTAATAAAAACATTCTGCAATTTAAGTTATTTATATGTCTTGAAAGTTTATTTCTGAAACAGTCTGTGATTAGATCTTTTTCATTTCTGAAAAGAAAATATTTGTGATGGATAAAAGACAGTTTTGCAAGTAACTCTATCCATACTTTCTCTCATAGAAGAGAGAATTAGTATAAAGAGGGATAAGTAAAATTTACGTTAGTTTCAATCAACTATATAGATTGAATTTATTTATTTTTAAAAGAAAACTGCTGTAAGTGCTCCCTGGAGTACAATACCCAGGTGTTACCTTTAGCATAGATTTCTACAGAATATTTTGGTGAAAAATATTATTTTATTTAATAGATGTAAACAAATGAAACTGTATTAGGACAGCCAGACTAGCATACATGATCATCCCTATTCACAGAGCAGTTTACAAAGAAAGAAGTATTTATGTATTGTTTACTATATGCTTCTTCCACAAGGAAGGAAGCATTTTATCAAGCCCCATTCTTACTCAGTGCTACATCATGTTAACAGATATCCTAAGCCGAGCTGTCTATTCAACATACACAGATAATTGTTTCGAAATAGCTTAAGATGGTACAGAGAACCAGCCAGCAAGACACAGTACACTGCTATACTTCAACATGAAGCCCTGCGCATAGAATAGGAGAATGCCATACCTGAGTGTATGCTGGGTACAGATTGGATAGGAAACAGTTTGGCAGAAAAGAAGCCCCACGTCTTGCGGAAAACAAGGTGAACACAGGTCAGCAGTGCACCCTGGTCTCAGTTAACAAAATTGTATCCTGCAGACTGAAAGAAGTAATCATCCCCTTTTATCTGGCATGAGAAACTGCATCTGGAGTACTCTGTCTAGTTTGGGGGTCCCTAATTCAATAAGAACATTGGCATACTGGAACAAGTCCAGTGAGGAATTACCGAGATGATTAGGTACTGGAGCACATGATGCATGAGAGTAAGAGACCTAAGCTTGCTCACTGTTAAGAGGTGGCAGTGGAGGGAAATCTGATTACTGTTAATATCTAATATGAGAGTATAAGTAAGATAGAGCTAGACTGTAAGGTTTGAGGAGGCAGGCAGTAATAAATCAAATGCTAAAGGGGGACATGACATGACACACAAACAAACAAACAAACAGAAAAATCACAATGAGGGTAACAGAACTTAGAACAGGAACCCAGAGAAGAATTTCCATTCCTGGAAATGCACAAAGCCCAACTGGGCAAGGCCCTACACAACCCCACCTCAGCTAACCCTGATTTGAGTCTGTGTTTGGACCAGATGACCCCCAGAGGTCCTCTCCAGCTTGAATTGTTCCGTAATATTGTGCAAATAGACATTAATTGCTTTTCTGCGGTAAAGGTTAACTCATAGATCCCAAGTTCAAGGTGTAGCGAAGTTATCTGCAAGAAGTGCTACTTTGCCAAAAAGTACAAACTTGAATTCTGTAGTCTAAGTTTGAACTGTATACATTTTTAACTGAATAGACAGTAACAGAATTAAGAAAAAAATATAGGGCCACAGAATATGGTGTGGTTTGGCTTCACTAAGAAGATGTGCAAGATGAAGACGGGAAACTGGGGAATCGCTACAGATAAGGGCATCTGCTGCGGACTAGGTCAGTCCCAGAGTTTGGTGTTCTGACCAATTGGCAAGCTAGCCTAATAAACCCAAATCATGAAACACCTCAGATTTCATGAAAACTCCCCCCCCCCCCC